GAGTGTATCAGGAGCTTGGTGAATGACTGCTCACTAGGGCACCCCTGAGGAAGACCAGGATCAATAGATACAAACTCCTGCAAGGCGGCTTCAGACTTAATACCAGGAAAAACTCCTTCGCAGTCAGGGTGTCCAGACTGTGGAATAAACTTCCTCCAGAGGTGGTGCAGTCACCTACCCTGGAGGTTTTCAAAAGGAGACTGAACAGTCACGTCACCGGGGTCACTTAACTCCAGTTATCTCCTGGCTAGAGTGGGGGGACTGGACCTGATGATCCGCAAGGTCCCCTCCAGCCTCTAACAATCTATGAATCTATGCCCTTTTAACTTACCAGTGTCTAGACTTTAAAGGCATGCCATGCAGCCCAGCATGGAAGAACCAGTTACAGAAGAACAGAAGAAGTGCCATACTGGATCAGATCAATGGCCCATGTAGCTAAGTATCCTGTCTCCAGCAGTCAGAAGTGAATGTTAGAGGGAGAGCACTGAATGGATCTATACAGTGATTTATCCCCTATCCATTACCCTCCCTAGCACCCACCATTATTAGTTTAGAGATACTAAAGAGTGTTAGAGACACCTCCAACTGTTCCATTATACAGCTATTGATAGATTTATTATACACAAATTTGTCCAGTCCCTTTTTGAACTTGGCTATGCTATCTGCTTCTATCACCTGTGGCAATTAATTTACAAGTTTACTATGTGTTGAGTAAAAAAGTACTTTCTCTTGTTAGTTTTAAACCCGTTTCCTACTAATTTCAATGAATGCCCCTGAGTCCTAGTATTTTGAGACTTATGGTACATGCACAAATTTGTGGGACCTGATCTATGATCATACAGCTTGCTTTACTGGTGCCAGGAGCTGTGCCAGAAATGCAATCTAAGTAAGTTGGGGTGAGGGGACAAGTGAGTGGGATCAGGGGGACCAGGAAGTCCGTGGGTGGGGCTCACAGGTCCAAGGCATTTGGATGGGACTGCAGGGGCTGGCGGGTCTGTAGTGGAAGGCTGTCTGTGCAGGGGTAGGGATGTCAGAGGACTAAAAGAAATCCTGTCACAGTGGTGGTGAGGTGGTAGAAAAAGCACAGCCCTGGGGTTAGGGTAAGTGTCTGTGTTCTCCCAGCCCAAGGACTATGCTCTGAACATGTCCACAGATTTAGTTAGATTAGTCATGGGTTGGCCTGATTTACATAGTACACCTCCTTAGGTGAACTAAGTTAGATTAGGCCAGCCATTTTTTGCCCAATCTAAGCTCCCTGAACATATGTAAAGTTCAGCACTCAGACTGACCTAAACCTAGTTAGGTCAATCTAAGTGTAATGTCTGCATGTACCCTTGGTGAACAACAGGCTATGTTCACCTGGTCCATACCCTTCTTGGTTTTGTAGACCTCTGTTATGTTCCCTCCCAGCCTCCTCCTTTCCAAATTGAAGAGTCTAGTCTTTTTAGTCTCTCCTGGTACGCAACTGCTCCATACCCCTGTTCATTTCAGTTCCTCTTCCCTGTACCTTTTCCAATTCTACTATATTGTTTTGGAAATCCAGAACCCATAACTGCACAGTACTCAAGATGTAAGCACACCATGGATTTGTATAATGGCATAATGATGTTCTATGTTTTGTTTTTTACTTCCTTCTTAACAATGCCCAACATTTTATTGGCTTTTTTGGCTGCAGCTGCACATTGAATGTATGGTATTAGAAAATTATCTGCAATGACTCCAATGTCTCTTTCCTGAGTCATAACAGTGAGTTCAGGACCCAGCATGCTGTATGTATAATTGAGGTTATTTTTCCCCAGGTGCTTTATCTTGCACTTTTCAGCAGTGAAGTTTTTCTGCTATTTTTTTCCACTTAGCTTGGTGAGATTTTTCTTCAGTTCTTCTCCATCAGCTTGGGACTTGACGACTCAGTTGCCAGTTCCCCAATACCAGCAAGCAGCCATACAGCATTCCTTAAAAGGTCTGGGCACATGGGGAGCCCAGGATCAGGAAGACTCTTTCCAATCTCAGGCTCCCTGTGTGTCAGCATGGTCAAAGAGTACTGTAATGGGGAACCCTAACCCTGTTACTAAGAGACAGGGTGGTCCCTTTAAATCCAGAACCTTCCAGCATGGCTGGCCAGTCAAGTAGGGGTTAAGGCTCAAGCCCTGCCAGCTGGTCTGGTGACAGGAAGAGGAAGGCCAGGATCCTACAAATGGCAAGTGGGGCCAGAGGGGCAGCAGGGAGGTGGACTCCCAGTGACCATGGTGCCATGTCTGCAGTCCGTCAGAAGACTACGCCATGCCCTGAGCCATCCTCATGATCATCTAAAGTAAGCAGGCATGTTGCCTCTCTTTTTTCTGTATTATTATTTTTCCATTATATGGCCTTAGAAGCCTATGTTTTGTGTTGAATGTTAAGATGGGTGATTTGGGTGAGGCTATTTGGGGAAGGAGGAGGCCTTATTGGGGGCCCATTGCAGTGTGGGGACCCCAGCGCCAGAGACAGCTCAGTATTTGGGGGTGAGCAGACCCCAGCCCCACAGAGGATGCAGGAGCCTGAGTGAGGTTTTTTTTTTTGACAGCTAGAGCCTGGGAGTCAAACCCTGATTAGTGGTGTTATTTTGACTGACAGGCCTAGCTAGACAGAAAAGAGGTAGGCCCACAGCAGCTGAGACCCCAACATAAAGAGGAATTTACAAATGCCATTTGTGAGGCTTGGGCTGTGGTGTAGGGGAGGAACGGAGCCACAGATAGCGCCCCACCCACCCCCACTCCAGCATAGACTGGGTAAATCCTAGCCCAAGGTACCTCCTGTCCGTTATCCCTCCCCTTCCCTCCTCCTCCCCCAACATGCAGACAGCGCCAGGCGAAGGGCTGGGCTGCATCAGCCCAGCCACTTGTTCAGGCAGAAGTTAATGAAGGTGCTCCAATTTGGAGCACCTTCATTTGAACCCTCATATAATGAAGGTTAAATTGGCATGTGACTGGAGCACCCTGCAGCCATGCTGTTCTGTTAGGGCATGGCTGTAGAGCACTTTCAAGGAGCTGATCTCCCAACAAATATAATTTCTGTGCCCACAGTGCCAAACACAATGGGCCCTGATATCCATTAAAAAATATTTTGAATCTAATGTAATACAAATACCACCACTTGGGTGCCTTTTTTGAAAGAATGGGAAGCTTATTCCAGGTGGCTAGAATGCGGCTTCAAAATCCAGCCGGCCTCTCTCTTACTTATAGCTCTGGGCACATTTAGATTAATGGTGTGCTTTAAGCCAAGCATATATTCATAGTCTGTACTGGAGAAGCGTGATGAGAAATACACTGGTGTCAAATTAATCACATTAATATAGTGTTGTAAACTAATGTTGCTGCTTTTTGCTAGGAGAGACATAACCAATTAAATCTATTGTAGAGGCCACTTTGTGATGAAAAAAAACTGTATAAAAAGACTATAATGGAAATGCAATTTTACTGCTCCATTATTGAGAGATAATGAGGTGGTGTCAACATGAATTACCATGTAATCGCCATAGTTTCCAAAGGTGTATGGCATGTCATTACTGTAAAAGGGCATGCACCTCACACAGTTAACTACTTTTAGCACTGCATATTATAGTCATGTTAAGGAAAAGGCAATGGGGTGTTGTGGCCCTCTCTCAGGGGTTCACAGAACAATGGGTGAGATTTTACACATTATGGGCTGTATTGTATGTTCTCATGAGTAAAAAATACAAGACATCAGTGAGACAACCTAGAAACCTAAGCAAAGGTCACTTTTGGAATTGCCTTCTTGACTCAGAATTTCTTCTTAGAGAACAGCTACACTAGGAAATCGCTTTACTTTAGAAAACCTATTAACTAACATACTTCATTCTACCATGATGGTAAGATTTTTTAGCTAATCTGGTGATAATTACCTTAGAGTTTGAATTTTGATTTCAAAGTTATTGATGATTATCTGACATGTTTCTAAGTATTATTTGTCCTTGTCCAAACTAAGGATTAAATCATGTTTAATATATTAGTTTGTGCATAAACACAGCCTCAATGCTTCTCTCCATAGGGAGTGACATGTGAAATGCTTGATATGAATCAAGGTTTTCTGGCATGACAGATCCCTAGAATCTGCACAGCCAGTCAAACTGATTTCTAGAAACTGTTACCTTTGTCCCACTCTTCTGCCTGGACACTGGGGTTGGAGCAGGCTTTAAAATTGTTGTGAGCAACAGCAACTCTCGCACAAGCAGCTATTTGACTATCTGGCTACAGACTGATAGTCGTGAACTCCCTGACATCAGGCTTTCCTATTTTTGTCACATTTCTCCCATCTCTGAGTCACTGACCCCCATCTAGTCAGAGTATGAGTGAGGGGCAATTTCTAGTTCTCATGCAGTAGGAAGATCAAACCTTCCTCTGAGTGTTCTACTCCACTTATACCCACCTGCTCCTCTCTATCTATGTAAGTGAGAAGAAATGGGGAGACTTCAAGTAGTCAATAATATTTATACACAACTGGAATGGAACAAAAGTAGCCCTTGTTCCATACACCCTCTACTACAGTTCTACCACGGAGCCTCCTAAATCTTGTGCAAGACCTGAGATCTTTAATTATATTTCAAGACAGTCCTCAGTATTTATTGTACATCTCAGCAAAATATGAATTCAAACATATATCCATTTATACACCTGTGCATATATACCAATGTAACAAATATATGCTGTGAATGTATCTCATTGTTTTTAGTGGATCTAAACTAGAATCTGAATACTGTTATATTTCAGCATTTGAAAATACTGCACAGCATGTATGTACATATTGCATCAGCTAACAGACTAATATAGAAAAGAGCCTTACTGAGTTTCAATAGTGTTTCACGTGCATTCATGTTGCTACATATAGAATAGTAAAAATACCCATTACAGAACATGGAAAAAAGCATGCCCGAAGAACAATAGCTGCACACTGTACCACTATAACATACAAAATTAAGATAACATTTGTTTCTTTCAGCTTACCCAAATCTGTAGCTTAATCCTTTTTTCATTTTTGAAAACTGTTTTGACTTTGAAATCGATCCCGACCGTGCTTACAAATGCAGATGTAAAGGAATCATCAGCATAACGGAACAAAAAGGAGGTTTTCCCAACACTGCTGTTGCCAATGATGAGCAATTTGAACATGTAATCAAAGTTCTGGTCAGATGTGTCTTTCTGGCCATATCTGGAATCTTGAGCAGATGCCATCTGTAATAAAATTAAAAGGATTCAAAATAAAAAGGGTTTTTTTCTTATGGTCTCTCACATCCTGCATATTAGAGCCAGTTATATTTTACTGGATTCCTTAGCAATAGAAACCAATGAATTCAGGGACAAGTTTGCAGAAGCCCTAAGTCTTTCTTATGAGTCTGGTATCCATGGCAATAATTCCCACTGCAAAAGACAATGGCAAAACTTACAGTATAGTACCAGGAAGCTGGTTCATCAGGGCTGACTATCATTGTTGATTAGTATAAAGAAACTACCAAAATGACTACAGCAATTACTGCATATAGTACAAAATCTAAAGTCTACAATCACAAAATGTTAGGGATGTGATAATATTATTTCATAAAAGTGCTGAAATTAACCAAGGAAAAAAGTACCATAAGACCTCCTGTTTCTGTCTGAAAGGAAAAATAAGAAAAAAAAATGCAGGCTGTGGCAGCATACAGCATACAGGTATGATTCCCCCTTAACTCTATTCTTAGCTTTTGTCAATTAGTGACACAATGTTAAACTATTTTAGCTCTAAAGTAACTACAGGACTTGACCTAGGTAACAATCCACTGTAATATCTATAACCTTACCCAAAGTATTTTGCCACTACCCTTTTTGTTATCACCTTATGACTGACTTGATAAACATGTCTGATATATGGCTTCATCTCCCTTTCCCCTTTAGTCTCTTCTATATTCTGTAACAGAATACTGGATGCAGTGTTAATGAAGCACAGTAGTACAGGGGATAAATGCTGACATTACCAATCTTGGGTCTCTAAAATTAGACTCTTAAATCTGTATTTAGACTGATAAATAAATAGCAACTACATATTCTTAGCACCTCTTAAACCAGGCCATTTTACATAGAAGTCTTAATATGCACAAATCTCAGTTTTAATTTATTAAAAAGTAAACTTTTTAGCAATCAGACTTTCAGAAAACGCCTTGAAAACTTAACCAACATATTAAAAAAAAATCAGGAGGCCAAGGAAAAGAAACTAATTTTATCATTATTTAAAATCTTGTGATTTTTAAACCAATCTCATTATTCTGGGATCCTGACATGGGTTTTGAATACTTTAATTTGGCAGTCCCAATAGCAGTGTGTGCATTATGGCTTCAGACAGGAAGAACCACCAGCAAACCCTAACTTATGACATATCTCAGGGACCGTCCAACTTCTAAGTGGCCAGGGGTGCACTCACACAGACCACACTAGTGGAGCCATATGCCCTGCAGGCTGCACACTGCATAAACACCCCCCGTGTTGCAACACATGCTTAAACACCCCCCTCTATAGAGTGTGCCCACAGAGGTGGCTCCCCACTGCTGCAATGACACCATGTGGATACCCCCCGCACCATTATGCCACATGCCCACATGAGCACCCTTCCCCTCCACACTGCAGCACACATCCCTGTGGGTGCCTTACTGGTACAGTTCACATCAACATGGGGACTGCCATCACCACCACAGCTTCACCATGATCTCTCTATGACATGCTGTGCCTTGCTGCACCAACCCCTCAGATGCCCGCAAGTCAGGGAAGCTGGAGGATGGAGGAGAAGCCCCAATACTCTGGCTGCTGTGGTAGCCAGAGCAATGTGAGGAGGGTGGCCAGGCAAGAGTCCTGGGGGCCACAGTTTAACTCCTCATGGGCCACATGCAGGTAGTCCACAAGCTGCAAAGTTGGAAAACCCTGACACATGTAAAAGCGGCTTCAGTAAAAACTTGCTCACTTGGGTGTCTAAAGATAGGCAACTCAATATTTGAACAGTGGCTGGATGCATGACTCTGTCTGGGGAGGCCAAGCTCTTTGTTGACCTATACTCTTTTAGCAAGAGTTAGGGTGAAGTTACACATTAAACCTAGAGCACAAGAAAACTATGGAATATTAAGTCGTGTTAAAATGAGAAAGTGGTGTGATTAGTTGTTAAGGGTTAAGACTTGCCACTAGAGGGCTGGTGAGCAGGGGCATGGCTAGGAGCCAGGACACCTGTCCCTATCGCTGCTTAGGGGGTAGGGGAGAGCTGGAAGCAGTGCATCCTGGGATTCTGGAGTACTGCAAAGTGTTTGTTTTACCTCAGTGGAGCGGATTGAATTTACCCTAACAAAAGCTAGCTAGCACAGCCCAATTAATTGTCACCTGAAATGGCCTAACTTTGAGATGTTCAGAGGGTACTCCGTACAAGTTAATGAGCTTTAATTTGCAGATGCTTATGTTTTAAGTGCCCTTAAGAATGGTCTAAGTGTAATATGTAACCTCAACATTAGATAATAGTGTAAAACTTTAGTACATTCTGTTTATTCACTGCCAAGGACAACCGCACCAGGCTACTTTAAAGGAGACTCAACAGGAGACTCCAGTTTTGGGGCAAAAACTTAAGTGAAGGTTTACATTATCAGTCCAGCAAAATTCTAGAAAAGAGGTAAGTCTGACCTTACATAGGATGTACAACCTTTACCTAGAACAAAGTGGAATAATGCCACAAGCTCACAGGTACCTAAACACCCAAGCTTCAGAATTATTGAAAACACATAATAGCCATTAACTGCCAGAAACCAAAGATGACCAAATATTGATTGAATAAGCTAAGTTTAGGCATGTAGGCTTGGAGATAATGGCCATAGTACTTATAAATTTACTTCACTGATGTGTCTTTATGAGAAGTAATTAGTAAATTTTTCAGTTTTATATTGCAAAGCTGTAACTATTACCAACAGCACACATCAATATCTTGTTCACCTTTTTTCTTTAAATAACAAACAAAACCTCTTCACCTTCACTCCTCCTCCTGATTTTAAGTATCTTATAATTCTTTGTAGACAGATGCAAAAAAGAAAATTAAATGCTGTTTAAACTATCTAATTACAACTTTGTGTGCATTTAAAGCTTTACAGGGTATACAGTTTACAAAAACATCCAAGCCATTACCATGAAACAAAGGTGTTGCCTGTCTCATTTCAGTCTGTCAGGGTACTCTGTTCTACCTGAAATCTCAAATAAGGTTGCATCTGAATCCACCACTATAATGCAGCATCTAGACCCAATGGCCTTTGATTGTATATCCATAACTAGAACAAGTAGGTGAGGACAGAGTCATTTAACTTCTTGACATTATTACCTGAGAACTGGCTTTCTCACTTCACTTAAAGATATTCAGAGTCAAAAGGTGTTAGTTTTCAATCCACTTGCTGGAACGATTCCTATATGACTTGCACTTCCTTTGTAGGTACTTTAAAGCTTACCAGTCAGGAACCAGTACAGCTGAGTAAACTGAGAAGTCAAGAGATCTGCATACTAGTATTCACAGCTTTGCTGAAGGTTTGTACATTCTGCAACACCCTTGGGTAAGTGTCCTTTTCTTTCTTATCTATTTAAACAGAATTTCCCTACAAAGAAGTTTTGCTCATCTCCTCTCTAGTAACATATTCATGTTGCTATTCACTCCCATTTCCTTTTCCAGCTCTGGAAAAAAATAAACAAACTAATATATTGTACAGTATATACTCTGCAGTAGAGGCCCAGGTCCTACTTTATCTATCAAATGCCTAAATATATTAAGGGGAATAATGCAATCCTAATTCCACTCTGCTCAAGTCCCTCCAATGTCATGGGTGCATCCACATGAGTG